TTTTTCTGATTCTTTTTTTCCGCAGGTTTTCGGCGTTGACTCTTTTTTTTTCCATTGCTAGTCTCCTGCGTTTGACTTTTTTTTTTTTTTTTTAAATTTCCCTAAAATTTTTATCCATTTTTTTAACGCCCACCGTTGAACGATGACCATAATTGTCTGTCATTAACAGTAATTATATTGTCGCTGACAGTAATTATACGGCCGTTGACAATACATTTATGTAATTGTATTGTCGTTGACAGTACAGTTACTGTCAACCACATCAATATTATTATTTTATTGGATTTTTTATTTTGTTTGATTTATTGACAAGTTAACGTAATTATACTATTGTCGTTGATGGTAAAATAATGTAAACACAATAATATTACTGTCATCCACATCAATATTATTATTTTTTTGGCCTTTTTATTTTGTTTGATTTGTTGACCGATTAACGTAATAATAGTATGCTCTACTATTGTAATATTACTGACTTACTGTAAACACAATAATATTACTGTCGTTACAGTAATATTGATGTGGTTGACAGTAATATTACTGCCAACCACATCAATATTAATTTTTTTGGTTTTTTGAACGGCCAACATAATGATATTACTCTATTACACAATAATAATGATTTTTTTTGTGTTAATATTACTTTGCTAGAGAGTAATATAGTAATATAACAATATTATTGTGTTAAATTGTAGTATAGTTAATATTACTATGTTAAACTGTAATATAGTTAATATGACTTTCAACTAGGGGTGAGTTCGGGACGGGATTTCGGGAATTCGGGATTTTCGGGATCGGGATTTCGGGATTCGGGATAGAAATTTTAAATCCCAATCCCGTCCCATAATATTAAATCCCGGTAATATCGGTATCCCTAAATATTTCGGGAATTCGGGATTGGAATCGGGAATCCCATATTTTGGCTAAAAACTAAGAAATATTGTTTTTTTTTTCCATTAGTATTATTTTATACATTAAACCAACTTGAATATATTATATACATACTATTATTATTGCACTATTTATTTTTACCACAAAACTTGGAATAAATGAAATTTGAAAAATTTAAAAATAAGTTGAAACGATATATTATATTGTATTTCTCATCTCCTTGACAAATATATATATATATATATATATATATATATATATATATATATATATATATATATATATATATATGTGTGTGTGTGTGTGTGTATGTGTGTTTATTAGTTTTTTTTTTCTTTTTTCCTAATTCGGGATTAAAATATCCCGATCGGGATTGAACCAATTCCCGAATCCCGATCCCGTATTTGTTCCTAATCCCAATCCCGAATCCCGTAATCCCGAATTCCCGAAGTTTTAATCCCAAATAGTAAAATTCTAATCGGGACGGGACGGGATCCCGAATCCCGATCCCAAAGTCCCAGCCCTACTTTCAACCACAACAGTATTACTGTTTAAACGGGCAAAAAAATGTTGAATAAATAAGAAAAAAAGTCAACGGCGCCAGAGAACAACGTTGATCGCCGGTCAGCGGCGACCGAAAGAAGATAAAGAAAAAGAAAATTGAAAAAGTCAACACCGAAAACCGGCGGAAAAAGCAGACAGAAAGAAAAAAAAAATGTATTAAAAAAAAAGTCAGCGCTGGGTTGATCGACAGTCAACGGTGACGACGGGTGAAATTGTACTCAAAATTGGGTTTGGGTCAAAATTAAATAATTGATGAAATTTAGGATCAAATTGAGATTAAATTGAATTAAATGATAAACTTTGAGCATATTAAAATGTGAGTATGGATGGATGTTACCCCTTAGACAGAGACATCGACTGTGACTCGAGTGTGGCCGAATTATAGGCGAAATAGTGCCAAGAGGTGTTGGCACAAGACACGCTGCATAGTGCACATTGGCCAGACGGTGGCAAAGTGATGGGCAAGCATTTGGGTGCTTGACCGAGAAAAACAAGGCAAGGATTTCGAGTGTTGGCACGGGCGAGTCTCGATAGCCTTGGATGAAAAGTGTGGGCAAAGCAAGAGGGCTGACTAGCACGCGTGCAGGCAGCATCGACCGTTCGGCGCGCACGCGCGCCGATTAGGCAGGTCGGGCGACTGATTAACTTGGGAAGTTATGGAAGGCACTTGCGGAGCGGTTGGCACCAACAATGACTTAGAAACTGTCCATTTTATGTTGTATTAGTTAGCCAAGTGGCTAGCATGCGTGCCGCGATGTGTCCCTTGGCAGTTTAGTGTGTAAACTGCATTGTTCCTTGTATTTGTAGGCCCTTGAGTGCACAAAACCGACCCATTCAGATAGAGGGACTCAGATTGCAATTGTTAGCATCTGTTTTTGAGGATTCATTGTGTGCACCAAGGGTTTTCCTTGTATTATTCGCGAGTTGATTAATAAAGGTTGGACATTGTCCGTAAATTGCTTGTGTTGTTTGATTTCCGTTGCATACTTATGATTGTTGCTGTTTACTTGATACAAACGATGGTGCCATACATTTGGGTGAAGAATTGTTGAGCGGGTTGACTGATTTAATGTCTAAATCAGGTTGTACAGTGGGAATTTTTTAATTGCAAGTTTACCTCTGTAACAATGGTATTGGGCGGGTTTGGCATTCCCCGCACCCACCCAGCAAAAAATCCGTGGGTATCCGCCCTGTCAAAAAACCTGTTATATTTAAAAAAAAAACTATCGTCAAATTGGGAGGGGTGGCTTTTTTGTAATTTTCAAACTCAGATCAAATGGTGTAAATGTCAAATGTGTGAAAACTAGCGGCGAGGGCCACACTGAGACAATTTTTCAAATACATGGGGGGCAAATCGATGCAATTGAGAGTAGAAGGGGGTAATGTGATATCGATCCCTAGTACAAGGGATCAAATTGATGCAATTGAGCGTAGAAGGAGGTAAAATGATATCGAGCCAACGTACACGAGACAAATCGATGCAATTGAGAGTAAATGGGGTAAAATGATATCAAGCCAAAGTACAAGAGGAAAGTTGAATTTACCCTATTTTTTATTTAAAGTGTGTACTTTAAATTTTTATATAGTATTTTCTCTAATTTAATAGTTTTGTTTAACAACAGTAATATTACCGTCAACCAAAGTAATATTATTGTGTCTACAATAATATTACAATAATAGACAGTAATATTATTATGTTATCCCGTGAATAACTCAAACAAAACAAAAAACCCAAAAAAATAATAATATTGATGTTGTTGATAGTATTATTGTGTTTACAGTTATTTTACTGTCAACGACAATAATATAATTACGTTGGCTTGTCAACAAATCAAACAAAATAAAAATAAATACAAAATAATAATAATAATAATAATAATAATAATAATAATAATAATAATAATAATATTACATTAATTTACTGTCAACGGTAGCACAATTACATAAATGTATTGTCAACGGCAGTACAATTACCTTAATTAACTGTCATTGACAGTATAATTAAGTTAATTTACTGTCAGTGACAGCACAATTACGGTCAACGATTAGCGGCGGACGTAAAAAAAAAAAAATACCAAACAGAAAAAAAAGAAAACAAAAACTTAAAAAAAGTCAACGCCGGAGACCGGTAAAAAAATCCGGAAGAAAAGAAAAGAAAAAAGAAAAAAGAAAAAAAAAAAAGTCAACCCCTTTGAAAAAAGAAAAGAAAATGACAAATACCTTAAAAGAAAAAACAGAAAAATATATGTAGTGAGAGAAAGAGAATTTGGCGCTGACTTGTGAGTTTTGATCACTACCTCGCTGTTTAAATCAACGCCGTGGCCTGCCCGCGTCAACCAAGGAAGAACAACGCCCCCCGCCCCACCACCACTCGCCCCCCCGCCCCACCACCACTCGCCCCGCCCCCACACATTTATTCACTCTTCGCTGGTTAAGCCAAATTGCAGATATGAAGTTGAAAATTCAAAGTTCAATCCCCTTCCCCATCAACAATTACATCCAATTTTCCACAAAATTCGGTTCCCATTTTCCTCCGCCGCTTCGGAATGGGAGCTTCATCCGCTGCCGCCGCAGCCGCCGCCGCCGCCGCCGCCGCCGCCATGATAAGGTGTCAATGCGCTCCATACAATAT